TCATTTTGAGAGTATAACAAAAAAACTTAGTACTGTGTGTTACATGCTTAGAGAACTGAAAAAAGTAGTCAACCTCGAAACTCTATTAAGTTGTTATTACGGTCATTTCTTTTCTATCCTTAAGTATGGTATCATGTTCTGGGGAAATTCTGATAACAATCAAGTGTTTGTTATGCAAAAAAGAGCGATGAGAATAATAGCAGGTTTAAAAATGACGGATTCGTGTAGGGGTGTATTCAAAAAATACAATATATTAACGAAAACCGGGTTATATATTTACGAATGTCTATGTTTTCATCAACAACATAAAAACTATTTTCAAAAAGCTTTAATCAGCGAAAGTTGCACAAGAAAAACGGAGATCTACCGTTATCCACGTCATAGAACAACACTGTTTGAAAACAGCTGTTACTACCAATCCCTCAAATTATATAATTCGTTACCTCAGAACTATAGAGCAATGCAGTTAAGTGTTTTCAAAAAGCAAGTAAAACATAAATTGGTAAAAGCTGAATTATACACATTAAAAGAATTCTCACGAATCATATTAATTTGAAATATTAGTTTATATGTATATGTGTATCATGTAGTTACTGTGTTCTATAATTTTTGTGTTTGTGACTAGATTATATAAATTTTATCAAATTCTATTGTACATGTCTCCACTTTTCAATGACGAATATCAAACACGTTTGTATGTCCCTGATATTAATAAATATTATTATTATTATTATTATTATAAGAATCTCGGGAGCCCTGAGTGTCTTTAGCTCAGATGCTTAAGAATCTCAGGAGCCCTGTGTGTCTTTTGCCTAGATGCTTAAGACTCTCGGGAGCCCTGAGTGTCTTTTGCCTAGATGCTTAAGAATCTCGGGAGCCCTGAGTGTCTTTAGCCCAGATGCTTAAGAATCTCGGGATCACTGAGTGTCTTTAGCCCAGATGCTTAAGAATCTCGGGAGCACTGAGTGTCTTTTGCCCAGATGCTTAAGAATCTTGGGAGCCCTGAGTGTCTTTTGCTTAGTTGCTTAAGATTCTCCGCAGCCTTGAGTGTCTTTAGCCCAGATGCTTAAGAATCTCGGGAGCACTGAGTGTCCTTAGCCCAGATGCTTAAGAATCTCAGGAGCCCTGTGTGTCTTTTGCCTAGATGCTTAAGAATCTCGGGAGCCCTGAGTGTCTTTTGCTTAGTTGCTTAAGATTCTCCGGAGCCCTGAGTGTCTTTTGCCTAGATGCTTAAGAATCTCGGGAGCCCTGAGTGTCTTTTGCCTAGATGCTTAAGAATCTCGGGGGGGCTGAGTGTCATTTGCTTAGTTACTTAATTGCTAAGTTGCTTAATTGCTTAGTTGCTTAAGAATCTCGGGAGCCCTGAGTGTCTTTTGCTTAGTTATTTAAGAATCTTGGGGGCCCTGGGTGTCTTTGCTTAGTTGCCTAAGACAATAACTTACTTCCTCTAGGAAGATTGTCTGTCCAATCATGTCCAGATCAAGTTGTAACTCGAATGCATCGTTAACAGACTGAATTGTTTTAAAGTTCTTCAGGTTATCAGCATAGAATAAGAAATTAGAATATCTAAAACAAGATTGTTTTGATAACGACAATTTCAAATTCAATCATTGTTCCAGTAACTGTGTTAATAAATATTTGTTTGCGGAACATAATTCCCAAGCAACTCAAGTTGTTTCTGTTTTAAGAAACGAAGCTGCTGGAACAAAGATAATTAATTAATTAATTACCGTCCAATATCAATGGTTCCCACAATGGGAATCCCACTACTGACAAAATTTTTGAAAACCGGGTCACTTTTTAACCGTTCTCAATCTGAATTTCGTAGTAAACGTTCGACTACTGTTGCTGTTATTAGTTGTTTATGTAATGAAATACTATCAGCCTTCGAACACAAACAAAGCTGTTTAATATCTTCTTTTGATTTACCGAAAGCGTTCGACGTGGTTTGTCACAACATGTTATTGCGTAAATTACCGTGTATTTCCTTCCCAATCAATTAATTTCAGTAGGGCTGCTACAGAGCTGTCCTAGGACCGTTTTTATTCTTAACTTACGTTAATGATATTTCGCCAGACTACGAAAAACAATTTTGAATGGAAATTATGAAAGTCAACCCAGCTGTCAACCTGAACAACTCAACTCAACCCACGAGCAATTTTCGTTAACTCCATAAAAACCCCGCACTAATATCCAACAACACAATGGTACCGCCGCTTTATTCTCTTCGTTTCGCAACGCACCATCCCTGTCCAGCACCCGCCCTAATCTTCCGGATTTTCCTCTCCACACGGCCCGTCTTAGAACAATACCCCCGCAAGATTTACGGCCGTTTTAAACCTAAATTGGTCCGTTCTCGCTGTACAACTGGCGACAAAAGCTCTGCCCCGAGCCATAAATTAAAAACGTTCTCTGGAAGACATCGGCCCGACTGTTGCGACTTGTCTTTGTTCGCCCCAACCTAGACAGTTACCTTAATTGCGCCGAATTATTCAAATGAAATAGACGAAAAGTGCGGCCGCCGTGTAATTTCGGCCGCAATTTACGTATTTTCGGTAATAACATGCACTAGGGGCATGCAGATGGCGCTGCGGCAATTAGCGAAGCGGAGGGGCCGACGACCATTTATCACGGCCCTGTACAAACAGTCGATTTCGGGAATTTGTCAGGTCGCACGAAATTAGGCGTGGATGGATGTGGATGTGCAGCTCGTGCTGAACGCTATTATGTTACAAGAAGTCTTAACAGCTGTCGACGATGTTTTCTTCTCAAACATTCCAAGCGCGCCCCCACTTGACGAGGTGAACATATTTTTTAATTTAATTTACGGAATAACGAACTATACTTCATTTATCGTCGAACGCACCGCTGACACGGAAATGACCGGCATTCAGGCAAGACTCACAACGGGTACTAAGACTGAGTAATGATGTGCATTGATTAGATTAATAAAAAACTTTTGAGATCGAATTACAGCATACAAATTCGTCTGCTATTCTCTAATCTCACACCATTCCCAAGAACCTAGAGTAACTACCATACCACAACCAACTACAAAATCCATTACAGCCCATGGAGTTTAAGAAAGGTGGGTGAAAATATGCACATGTCCTTGACACCTACAAAAATGAGCATTGTATTCAAACGTACAACCAAAATTGAATCTAAAATTCTAATGGTCATCATCTGAAAATATTCCACATTTGCAATTTTAATTTCCATTTTCTTGCTTCTTCATCACTCAGGAAGAGTAACCAGATAAGCATAAACCGTGCCAAAGATCGCCACGATTTTACAATAAATCCGACTTTTTCCATCAAAAACAGACTTTTATTTTTCCAACATTGCATTATGTAACGAAAGTCTTCCTCTAGAACGTCCTCAAAAGGTCAAGAATGTAAAAAGCAGAATTGTTTCGGCTAATACATGCCGGCTTTGACCTCTTTATTAATCGAAACCTTGCCTTAATCCAATCTTGATTCCTTTGATTAATTGCCCAGATCCTTCCCCTTTTGAAGCAGTAGTACTTTAAATTTTAATACGCCGTTTTTAAAGTTCCTTGTTACCTTGAAAAAATTAATCTCTATTGTATTTAAACCAAAATTCCAAGCCTTTTTATCAGCGAATTCTACAAAACTGATCATTTGCATGAGTCTTTGATAACGAAAACGACTGCTCTACTAAACCATTTGCATACAGTCACCAAGATGGACACTTCTACTTGGTTGCAGTCCCCCAATCAGCCCGCCATCCTCGTGGCCTGCTACCTCTTCACCATCAAGCTCGGACCCATCTTCATGAAAAACCGCCCACCCTTCGATTTAAAACGAGCCCTCGTTTATTACAACTACTCCCAGATTTTTCTCAACCTCTACATTCTATATGCGGTAAGTTCCACTAAATCAGAACCACAATCAAAAGGTACTTCTAAGCTTTTCCCGTGGCACACAGAATCAACATGTTTTGCGGCCCCAACGACGACACACCCGACGAAGTCGCCACGATGTCGAAAGTCCACCAGCACTACGTCCTCCTTAAAGGCTACGACTTTTTAGACACTGTATATCAGCCACCGCGATTTATATTCTTTGTAATTCGACTAAACCGTAGATTTTCTTCGTGCTGAGGAAAAAACAAGACCAAATCAGTTTCTTGCACGTGTACCACCATCTGCTGATTTTTATTATTGCGTGGGTACTGCTGAAGTACTTTCCCGTCGGGGTGCATCCCGGAGGACCACCGCTACTTTTTTTTACTGTTAACTCCTTCGTTCACGCCGTTATGTACACGTACTACTTGAAGAGCGCTAAGCAGCGAGTGAAGAGCGTGGTGTGAAAGAAGTACGTCACGGTGTTACAGATTGTAAGTGAAATGGGTGTTGTTTAAGTGTGTATTTTTTGCTTTGGAGGTCCAACACTACATTATGTTCTTTCTGTGTCTAAATGCTCTGGCGACTAAGAGTTGCTCTTATCCCAAGATTCTCGTGCTACTTGGAGTTGTGGGGTTCTTCAGCATGGTGTACCTCTTTAGCCAGTTTTATTACCAGGCTTATATCAAGAAAAGGGAAAAAACGCAGTCCAAGGACTAGGAGCGACTTAAAATTTCGTTTCTGGTCTAGAATGGGTAATCTGGTGTTGATATACAATTTTCCAATAATAATAATTTATTTATGACTTGACCTGACCCGAATGGAGGGTAAATTTTCTGTATACTTTAGAATAAATAAGTACTCATTTTCGTTGACTGTACTTTAGTAGCATAGTACTCGCCTCGTGTTCATCCTCCATCAAAAATTTGCAAATTCTCTAACTTTTTAATCGAAACTTTATTTAAGCTTATTCAATACCCAAATATGCATAATCCATTGTCCTTGGACATGAACCACCATTGTATTTAAACTAATACAAACGAATAGTCAAAATACTTCCATTAGCAATTTTATGAGAGGGGTCATCGATACCGAAAACAATTACTCCACAAAATTAGTCCCAACACCGACATCAAAATGGACGGTTTTATCTTAACGCAGTCCCCATACCACCTCGTTATCATCATAGCCGGCTACCTCTTGGCCATCAAACTCGGGTCCATCCTCATGAAAAACCGCCAACCTTTCGAGTTAAAGCAAGTCCTCGTCTATTACAACTACTCTCAGATTTTCTTCAACGTCTATCTCCTGCTTACGGTAAGTACCATGAAACGAGAACCACAATAACGAGTACTTCCAGGTCCTCCCGGTGTCCCATAAGACGTCCATGTTCTGTCGCCCCGACGACGATCAGTTCGAAGGTACCGCCACGACAACCACGCTCCACCAGCAGTACGTCGCCCTCAAACTATACGATTTTCTAGACACTGTATATCCGCTAGTTTGTGTAGTACTTTTAGTTATTGAGAGTACCGTAGATCTTCTTCGTGCTTCGGAAAAAACAAGACCAAATCAGTTTCTTGCACGTGTACCACCATATTCTGGTTTTTGGGGTTTCTTGGGTACTGTTGAAGTATTTTCCAATAGGGCCGTACCCTGTAGGGCCGCCGATGCTTTTCTTTATTGTTAACTGCTTTGTTCATGCCGTCATGTACACGTACTACTTGAAGAGCGCTAGACAACGAGTCAAGAACTTGTTGTGGAAGAAGTACGTCACGTTATTGCAGCTTGTAAGTACGATTGAGTAGTACTTAGATAACTGACTATTTTATTTTTTTGAGGTTCAACACTACGTCATGCTTTTTCTGAGTATAAATGCTCTGACGAGTGGAAGTTGCCCTTATCCTAAAGGGCTCGTACTGGTTGCGGTTGTGGGGTTTTTCAGTATGGTTTATCTTTTTAGCCAGTTTTACTACCGTGCTTATGTACGCAAAAATGGAAAACCGACGTGTAAGGATTAGGGGATTTGGCGGAAATTTTCGTTTCTCTTCTAGGGTAGAGTAGTTAGATCTATTATGTTGAGAGATTTTTTTTTTGTAAGTAAAGTTTTACGATAAAGCAACGTTAGACCTAAGAAAAAAACTTCTTTCATAGTATTTGATACTTTAGTACTTATATACCTGAATTATTCTTTTTTAATTTGATTGATGTAGATTAATTATTGCAAAAGTTTAACTAAGTACATGTCTGTCTGTCTGTCTGTGTGTCTTATGTATCAGTTTTTATTAGATCTAGTTAATCATCCCCACCAACAATCTAATGACGTCATGTTAAAGAATTTGCTTAAGTGTATTTACTTTTCTGTAACATTTTTATAATTGTGTTTAATATTATATCTATTTTTGTTTATCTGATTGTTTCTTATTATTAAATACGATTCATTCCCTAATTGTCTATGTTAAATTTAATTTTTGCGTAAAACATCGATGTTTCGAAAATTTTGCGCAACGCCAGCTTTTATATTTACTTTAACATTACTTATATACATATTTTTATTTTAAATTATAAGGGCTATCATAAAAAAATCAAATTCGCAAAATCAAATCTTTAAATTTTTCGAAAAATCCCGATTTATTGTCCTGTATACTCTCGTGGTGAGGGAGGTTATGTCGAAATAACCTTCGACTAATTTTTTGACATTACAATTTTTCGTTTCCGCATCTTCATTTTTTTTCAATTTCTCGATTTTCCAATGATTCAGTTTTTTAATTTTTCTTTTTTCAAATTTAATTTTTTTAATTTCTCAATTTTTCGACTTTTAAGTTTTTCATTTTTTCGGTTCTGCAATCTTTCGATTCAAATTTTTCAATATTTGGATTTTATAGTTTTTCGTATTCCGACCTATAATTTTTTCATTTTCTCAATTTCTCGAATTTAAAACTTTTCAGTTCTTCGTTTCTTCAGTGTTTCGATTTGATATTTTTCAATTTTGAAATTTTAGATTTTACAATTCTTCGTTTTTTTCATTTTTCAATGTTTCAATTTCATAATTTTTCGTTTCTTCAATTTTTTGTATCACAATTTTTTGTTTTTTTCCTTCGATTTGATAAGTTTTTGATATCGCAATTTTTCGTTTCCTCATGTTCATTATTTTTCAATTTTTCGATTTTCCAATGATTCAGTTTTTTAATTATTCTTTTTTCAAATTTAATTTTTTTAATTTCTCAATTCTTAAATTTTTCAGTTTTTTGTTTCTACAATCTTTCGATTTGCAATTTTTAGATTTTACAATTTTTGATTTTCGATTTTTGAACTTCTTAATTTTTAATTGTTCTATTTTTCAATTTCGATTTTTATTTTTCAATTTTTTTATATCACAAATTTTTGTTTTTTTTTTTCTTCGATTTTAAAATTTTGTGAGATCCAATTTTTCGTTTGCTCATCTTCATTATTTTTTCATTTTTTCGATTTTCCAATGATTCAGTTTTTTAATTTCTCTTTTTTCAAATTTAATTTTTTTAATTTCTCAATTTTTCGACTTTTAAATTTTTCAGTTTTTCGTTTCTGCAATCTTTCGATTGGCAATTTTTCAGTTTGGCAATTTTTAGATTTTACAATTTTTGATTTTTAATTAATTGTACGATTTTTAATTATTATTATTAAAATTATTATTTCGAATTTCAAATTTTTTTGTTTTTTGTTCCTTCAGTGTTTCGATTTGCAATTTTTCAATTTTGCAATTTTTAGATCTTAAAATTTTAGGTTCTCAATTTTTACACAACTTCATTATTTTTTAAAATTTTCGATCTTCTAATGTTACGTTTTTATAATTTTTCTTTTTTCTAATTTAATTTTTTCAATTTTTCAATTTCCCGACTTCCAAATTTTTCAATTTTTCGTTTCATCAATTTTTCAAGTTCTTAATTTATAATTTCTCAGTTTTTCAAGTTCCATATTCCCAATTTTCTAATTTTCATTTTCTCCATTTCATATAACAATTTTTCGTTTATTCAAATTTTCAATTATCCGATTTCACGATTTCTTTAATTTCCAATATTTCGATATTTCGGTTTTTCAAATTTTTTATTTCCTGTTTTCAGATTTTTCAATCTTTTCATTGTATACTTTTTCGTTTTTCGTTTTGGATTTTTCAATTTTACAAATTTCGCAGTTTTTCAATTTTAATTCGAAAAGTTGAAAAATCAAAAAACGGAAAAAAGCCAAAAATTGCAAAATCGAAAGGGTGGAAAATCGAAAAATTGCAAACCGAATAAATGAAGAAACAAAAACTGAAACATTGGAAAAATAAAAAACGCGAAGGTGAAAAGTTGGAAAACCCAAAAAATTATTAAATCGAAAATTTGAAAAATTAAAAACCTAAATTTTGAAAAATCAAATAACTGAAGAAGTTTTAAAATTCAAAGTGGCATATTTTAAAAATCATTGTTTTTATACATTTAAAATGAAAACTAGAAAAAAAACAACCATTCGAGAAACTGAAAAATCTAAAATTGAAAAAATCAAAATTTCTCAAATGTCGAAAAAAAATCAAAACCGAAAAATGGAAAATCCAAATATCAAAAATTCCACACTAAAAAAGAAAACATCAAAACTCAGAACATTGAAACACCGGAAAAATGTTTAAACGAAAAATTGAAGAAACCAAAAAATAGTAAAATCGGAACATTAAAAATTCGAAAAATTTGAAGAAATGAAAAACTGGAGAATCGAAAATTTGAAAAATTAAAAATTGAAAAGTCTAGAAATTGTGAATCAAAAAATTGAAAAAACAAAAAATTGTAACAATGAAACATTGAAAAATCTAATTATTGAAAAACTAAAAAAAATAAAAAATTGAAACGAAAAATTGTAAATCGAAAAACTGAAAAATTAAAGATCCGAAAATTCAGAAATCTAATACATACATAATTGAAAACTTTTAAAAAAACGTAAAATTAAAAAAGTGAACAATTTAAAAACCATTATTATTCTTACACATTTAAAATGAAAACTAGAAAAATTACAAACCATTAGAGAAATTGAAAAATCCAAAATTAAAAAATCTCAAATATTAAAAATCAAAAAATTCAAAACCGAAAACATGGAAAAATCCAAAAAAAGAAAAATTTCACATTTGTCAAAAGAAAACTTATAAAATCAGAACATTGAATAATCAAAAATTTGAAAATGCGTGAAATTGCAACACAAAAATTCAAAATTTAAAAACTGAAACATCCGGAAGTTGGAAAATCGAAACACTGCAAATTTTAAAAACGAAAAGTCGAAGAATTGCAATTTGTAAAACTGTAAGAACAGAAAAATGAAAAATTGCAAATTGAAAAATTGAAGAAACGAAAAAATAATAAGATCGGAACATTAAAAAATCGAACCAAAATAAAAAACAGAAACGAACGACTAATAGTTTCTTATTCATGAATTAGAGTTTGCAAAAATAAGTGAAGGACACCAGAAAAAAAATAAACGTTGGTTATGCTGGAATTACAACAAACTGTCGAAATTTCAATTTCACTGACCACCAATTTCTACTTAGTCTTAAATGTAACAAGTTTAGGAAACATTCTGTAAAAGTTTTAACACTTAAATAGATTAAATAGTTTCATAATTAAGTCAAGTTTACACTAATTTTCTGTTGTAATTGGTTAGCTATACAATTTACCAGATGTTTTCTGCACGGAATAATTAACTTTTGGCTCCATGCTTTGTCTGCGACAATGCATAGTAACCCAATTACTAATTAAATTTATATTGTTTTGCACGCCTAATCGCACAACACAGGCGGAAAATCAATTTTACGTCTGGATTTCTAGACCATGGCTTATTTTTTTACAGTCATCGGGCAAAAAACAGAACGTGAGCATGAGCATGTTCGGATCAAAATGAGCACGATTGCAGTTGCCTACCAGTGGTGAGAGTTATTTAATTTAAAACATTATGTCAAGTTCTCGTTTCGAATTCAAAATGTTTTGTAATCAAACCTGGAATTTGAATTTTTTAACTTTGTCCACTTTATTCTATTTAAGTGTTCAGGGATTATGGAAACCCGCAATAAGGAGGCGGAGCTGTCTGCGATCCTTCGTTGCTACGAACCGGCAATACTTTTGCGTGCAGTATGAACTTTACAATTACTTCATAGTTCTTTCTTTAGCAAATATTATCCATTCACGATCTTTATATTGTAAAGTAGGCTTTGATATTTTTTCTTTAAGTTGGATAAACTGATTTAATGATTTAGTTTTTTGTCAGCATAGATAATTTGTCATTGTGACAGATTCACAGATCATTGCGACATTATTTAACAAGAAAATCCCTAAAATAGTTTTACTGCAACAAAAAATTGCAATAAAAAGATGTTTTTGGCAGTTTCGGAAAGACAGGCCCGATCTTTCTTTCGAAGAAGGAACTATGAGGATCTCAAACATATTTTCTGTAATGAAAAAATACGCTGTAAAATATTTTTTAATTTTTTTTCTCATAGGTGGGAACATCAACTGTGGCGAAAATTTTATCAACAGGGGACCTAAATTTAAACACATCACTATCTGACAAGCGAAAACCAACGGATTTATTTACAAATTATATGTTTCGGAAAGACCTGCAACGACAAATTTGGCAACTTAATGAAAAAAACGAATATTTCACTGTAGATACTCTTTTGACATATTCTAGGGAACAGTTGGAATTTAAAGGGGGGCGAACCACATTATACAAAATTCTTAAGTCAATGGGTTATAAACACAGGGAAGTAAATGGTCGCAAAATTCTATGTGAACAAAAACATGTCATTGCAGACAAAATTACTTTTTTGAGAACATATTCACAGTTTCTAAATTCTTGTGAAAATTTGATTTTTGTGCATTTGGATGAAACATGCATAGTTTATAAAACAAATTTCTCAAAAAAAAAATATAGAAAAATTTCAGAATCTGTTACAATTGGAATCATGGAGTGACGTTTATAACAATTCGGAACCAAAAAAATTCCAAAAATTTTTTCAACTATTTGACTACTATTTTGATTTGGCGTTCCCAAACCAAGAAAAAAACCAAAATCAATAGAAAAAAAAACATCCACCCAAAACCTTGGCTTAATAATGAAAT